TAATGTTTTATATAATAGTCTTTGTAGATTTGTGCTCAGGTGTCCTTATAGAACCCATCACTGTCTAATGTACGAGTCATTGAACTGGCCTACGCCGAAGACCAGAAGACAACTCCACTGGTTAACACTTATTTTTAAATGCATTTTAATTTGCCGTCATATTTGAAAGACCTTTTAATTCCCTTCAGCTCTCAATACAACTTAAGGCACATGGACCAACTGTTTCTAGTTACACCTAGAATCAGTAAAGAAATTGGTCCTCGTGCATTCAAATTCAAAGCTCCATCTGATTGGAATAACCTTCCTTCCTCACTAAGGTCGATCACTTCTCTTTATATCTTTAAATCATCTTTAATTACTCAATTTCAAACACTTTGCTCGTGTTTCTGAACTGTTTTAGGTCTCATACTACTCACTGTCCAGTGTACTTTATATATGTGTGTATTTGTTTACAAATATGGATTGTATACTTGCATGCAAGCAGATGTATTTCTAAGGGGGTGTATAGTATACTTGTGTACAAATGTCTATCTCTATTTTTTGTAAAGGGATTTATTTATTTATTTATCTATTATCATTATTATAATTTTTTTATTATTATTATTGTTATTATTTTTTATATTCTATATTTTTTATGTTTGTGTATATATATATATATATATATATATATATATATATTTCTTTTTTCTCCTTTTTTTCATACCTTGTCTGTGCATAGTCTGTGCATTATTGGCTGGTGAGGGGGTGGGGGAGCAAGTTTCAGGGAGCATTGTTGGAGTGTGTGTGAGTGTGTGTGTGTGAGTGTGTGTGTGTCTTTGTACTTATGTGTTTGGAATTATCTCTAATATTTACTCTTTATCATCTTGTCTTGTTTGTCATTATTGTAAGGACCCCCTCGAAAATGAGATGGTACATCTCAAGGGGCTATCCTTGAAATAAAGAATAAAGAATAAAGAATTCCTAGGATATCCTAGCCTGGCAAGCCAGACCTACATCAAGATGTTAGGTCTGGGAACTCACAATTGGCATACCTCAATCCGAGGGGCGGGATAAACGGTTGTCTTTCAATATCCCTAGGCACGCAATAGGACAGCGCTACAACCAACCAGAGCAACGAATGGCTGTGGCTGAGTGAGTCCCATGCGTTTTTCCACCAGTGAACCAGCTAGTTGGTATATTAAACTTTTGCCGTATCCGGTCGTCAAAACTCTGAACATATCTTCCTTTTTTAGGAATGACTTAAGTGACATTCTCTTAACTCCAAGTCATCCAGAGTCGCGGCCAAAGCCGATTCGAAAGACCGCTGTTCGCCAGCAGCATCTCTTTGTTTTCAAGCAGAGGGAAATCACCTATGGAAATCACGCGGAACCGTCATAACTCGGCCATCATTATGTTAAGCCCGCCCACGAACTCTACACGATCTGATTGGCCTGACCAGTTTTTGGTTTTTCCAGCTCAAAAGTCTATGGAGAGTTGCTAGACCACACTTTGCTGCAAAATATTTTTTGCTGCCGCTAGGGTGCGTCTAGATTTCTAGGCTAAGGATATCCAGATCCACCAAAGGAGGGAGAGCATTTTCACATTTAGCTCCGAAGCTCTGGAATAGCCTTCCTGATATTGTTCGTTGCTCAGACTCGTTCTCCCAGTTTAAAACTAGACTAAAGACGCATCTATTTAGCCAGGCATTCATATAAATTTTTTATCTTACAGTTACTGTAAATTCGGCCTCTAATTCATAAACGCCAGAGGAGAACTGGCCCCGACTGAGCCAGGGTTCTCCCATCGGGTCACTTGATCGAGTTTTTCGGTTCCTTGCCACGGTTGCCTTTTGCTTGCTCAGTTGGGGATATTCAAATTAAATGACCCATCATACCACTGATCAGCTCTACCAAACTTGGATGTCTTTTTCCAGTAATAAACAAACACTGTTAAGTTGTTTTGATTGATACTGTGAAGCAGCTTTGATAGAATCTGTATTGTGAAAAGCGCTATATAAATATATTTGACTTGACCTGACTTGACAAATAAATGTTGTTTTTTAGAAAATTCAAGAAATGATACATTTTGAAAAATAAAGTTTAAACACAATGGTATCCGTGCAGCCGGCCGCACATAAACAGCTGGCCTGGTTGAATCAGCCGGCACAGACAAATCCGCGAGAAGCCACATTACTGTCAGGATTCCATCTCCACCACGATCATCATCACCGCCCACTCATTCCCTTTCATCCAATCGGACATTTCCCCGTTCATTATCCCCTGATTACTAATCACCGTCACCTGTGTCCCATCACCCACATGGACTATAAAACATTCATTCTCACTACAGTCACTTGTCTGGTCTCGTCAATTCATGGCTCACAGACTCTCAGATCACCTACCTGTTACCTTCCGTCAAACTCTATCAATCTGTTCTGAACCTCCGTCAAGCCACCTACTACAAGGAGAAAGAGAAGAAGGACATTATCCTCAGCTAAGCTTCCTTTATGTTTCTGTGCCTTTGATTTCTCACCTGTTATCTCTGACTGCGATCTTTGCTGCAATAAAAGCACTAATAACTTACCACCTTGTCTGCTTCGTCTGAGAACCCTGACAATTACAGCCTATACGGTTTATTAACTGAGGAGACGAATTGCAAAACCGTGCGGGTTTTTTTTGGGGGGGGGGGGGGGTTCACAGTTGACTTCCCGGGCTCAGTAGGCAACTATCTAAATGTTCCAAGTCAATCTAAATAAAATTGAGAAATAAAATTTCGTAAAACGGAAAAAAGTTTTGTGTCACTTATTTGATTTTAAATTAAATATCTAAGCATTGTATATAAGGAAAATAAGTCTGTATGTGAATATTATTTCACCAGTCTAAAAACGAATAAAGAAGAAAGCATGTTTTGCAAAAGGACGGAAAAGTACACCGAAGGTAGTGGGAGGGAGTGTCTATTGTGAGTTTAGAGGGCACATCAGCCAGAGCTGTAGTGTGTGTGTGTGTGTGTGTGTGTGTGAGTGAGTGAGAATACTGCCTGCTGAACAGAGGGTCGCCGAAAGAAGAATCTGAAGTGCCGGTGTTTCGGCTACAAAAACCCGCCGAACTGACCCGAAACCAGCCCAATTTTTATCCACCCGCCCAAACACTTTTTTGCCCGCAAAATAGATTTCAAAACCGCCCAATCTGGCAACACTGCCTGTCGCTCATATCATTTTGTTATCGCAGAATTTATAGTTACATAAAGATCAGGGAAAGATACCATGGTAGTATATTTCAACAATGAACAATCATAATGACAAAAAAAAAAAACAGAAAACAAATATCATGGGTTTGTGTACATCATAATATAAGAATACAGAGGGGGAAAAGGCAAGACAAGGCCAGTTTATTTATATAGCACATTTCATACACAATGGTAATTCAAAGTGCTTTACATAGAAGAAAAAAAAAAAAAAAGATATAACAATAATTAAAACAGTTTAGAATAAAGAAATTAAAATAATCAAAAGAAATAAGAATAATTAAAACAGTTTAGAATAAAAAAAAATAAAAAAAGTATATATATATAATACAGTACAAACAGTGGCACAGTGCTCATTCAGTAAATGCATAGCTAAACAGAAGTGTCTTGAGTCTGGATTTGAAAGTGACTACTGTAGGAGCACATCTGATCTCTTCTGGAAGCTGGTTCCAGCTGCGGCTGGCATAATAGCTAAAAGCAGACTCTCCATGCTTAGAGTGAACCCTTGGTATTTCTAGCTGATGTGATCCTAATGATCTGAGTGATCTCTGTTAGGTTTATATTCAGTGAGCATATCTGCAATGTATTTGGGTCCTAGGCCATTAAATGATTTATATACCAGTAATAATACTTTAAAATCAATCCTAAATGTAACTGGGAGCCAGTGTAAAGACCTGAGGACTGGTGTGATATGTTCATATTTTCTGGTCCTGCTCAGGATCCTGGCAGCAGCGTTCTGTATGAGCTGCAACTGTCTTATGGTCTTTTTAGGAAGGCCAGTGAGGAGTCCATTACAGTAATCCACCCTGCTGGTGATAAAAGCATGCGAAGAAAAAGCAAAATAATAAGTATCTTTGAATATATTTTGTTTGCTATATTTATAAGCCTGAGGGATAAACCAAGAGTTAACTTCAACAAGAAAAAGAGGAAAACAATGAGATTTAAGCTACTTTTGCTTGTGGGTGAACATCTTTGCATAGAAAATGAAGAAATTTAACAACATATTCAAGAGATGATGATTTGGGGGTTTCTTAGTAAAAAACAAACAATATTAAGGATAAAACTGTGGGTCACATTAGTGGGTTAAAAATATAAGAATTTAAATTTATTTTAATTATAAAAAAAAATCTCAGTATTCTTTACAAAAATGTCAGAGAGCTCCAGCCCGGTCTTCAGTCAGGAGGTTGATTGTGCAAGTGGTAGGCTGCTATCTTAGGTGAGATAAGGTAGGTATGAAAATCCATCCTTCATAATATTTGCAAAAAACAAACAAACTGGCGAATTCAGGGATTAAAGGTCACAGTGTCAACAAGCACTGCAACCAATCATAAACTAAAGTTTGAAGATGTTTCCTTATTTGGAAGAAGGAAGGTATTAATTTTTTAGATCAGGTATCATGACAGTGACGGCAATGAATACATTATAAGAAAGTTATAAAATGCTTTGGCTCTTCTCTTGGTCTCTTTCTTTTTCAGGTCATTCTGAAAGGAATAAGGTCCTTGTTTCTGCGAAAACTTGGTAATAAATATTTGCTACGGAGTGTTCAAGTCAAATGTATTTCATTTTTGTGGTAATTCCCATTCATTCCAATCAATCTGTTAACAACAGTTTATGCACTTCTTACAGCAGTAGCATTGGGACTTTTTTTATAGTTATATGTGAGAATTTCTCTCTTTTCCACTCATTCACTCTCTCTGGAGTTTATGTGATATTCTTTGGTTGTATCATCATGTTTACGTTTTCTCTTAAAAATCATTGTCCATTACTTTGCAGAACAGCCATGGTGATCTACACAGTAAAGGCGTACACAGGGAAGGGGCTTTTAGCCGGCACCACTAGCCGTATCTTCATCCGGCTGCGAGGAACTGAGGCCGAGAGTGAGGAACAGAACCTAAACCGCATTCAGGGGTTTTGGCAAGGCTCGGTAAGTGCACCCAATTAAACCCAGTAAGGAGTTTTGGTCCAAAAAACATCAGTTAGAATAATTTAATGGAAGCAATTTGAACAAATAAATAAAACTTGTATGTAGTAATGATATCTTAAAATATATTCCCATCTGTCTGTGCAGGAGCGAGCATTTAAGATACACTGTAAAGCGTCCCTGGGAGAGCTCATCGCTGTCAAGCTCTACTCCAAGCCGTTAATGGGTCTTCTTTACAACCAGTGGTTCTGCGATAAGATCTCGGTCAACACGCCAGAAGGAGACGAGATGTTGTTTCCGTGCTACTGCTGGCTGGACTGTAACGAGAGGCTCGTTTTAAGACCTGCTAAAGGTACACACTCCCGATTCAAGTCATGGACAAAATTCACATTTACCGGTGTACCTTACAGTTCAGTGGTGATGTTTTGCAAATGTCACATATGTCACTTACATTTTAATACATTTGTTTATTTGGGATTTCACACAGAGAGTTATTGCCTCAATGAACCAGAACCAGTCCATTTGTACTGCACAGCATTTATTAAAAAAAAAAAGTCATTTCTTGTATTTTTAATGCTTTGTGACAGATCCACCAGCCAAGCACACAAGTTATGTGCACACACACAGTCTGGTTTGCTATCTTTGTGGGGACTCTCCATAGACGTAATGGTTTTTATACTGTCCAAACTGTATATTCTGTCCCCTTACACTAACCCTCCCATCACACAAAACTTTCTGCATTTTTACATTAAACATGTACAGAAACACTTTCGTATATTGCAGAAGAAGTAAACATTTGTGTCTTCATATGATGGAGAGATAATGTCTGTAATGTCTGTGTCAGATACTATGTAATGCACAGGGTCAGGACTAGAGAGGACATACTGCTAGCCTATATTTGTTGTGATGTTCATTGGGTGATGGCTTGCAGATATACTGTACATGTAGTTGTCATTCATATGATATTTTAAATGATTTTTTGTGTATCTAAGAAGATTGTGACTTATATTAAGGGTAGTGCCACACAAGTCATCATCCTATGATCAAGTAATGATTTATACAAAATATGTATTATTTTTTATTTGCAAACATAAACAAAGCATTTAGATTGTGAATTATTGTTTCCATTTCAGCTTCACTTGTGTTCCAGGACACCAACCCAATAGCCCAAAGACAAAGGATGAGGCAGCTAGAGGAGCAACGAAAGTTATTTAGGTTTGTGGGCAGAACACCAATACAAGTCGCATATGACAGTCTGCATTAAATTAAAATAAATTCAGTGAAATTAAATAAATCAGGTGAAATACAGCTGAATATTCTTCTCCTAGGTGGCGTGTGTATGCTGAGGGCACGCCTCAAGTTATCGATTGCGACACTCCCCTCACTCTGCCAGCTGAAGTCCGATTCTCTTTCACAAAGGAAACTGAGTTTTACTCCAGTGCAGGAAAGCAGTAAGTAGCCAAGTCATTTTAACCCTCCTGTAGTGTTCATCTCTTTGTTACCCACTACTGTTCAGTGTTTGTTATGGAATGCCTGTATCAATGAAGTACACGACGAAGGATAATTCCAGGAAATAGGTTTTTCATTTAAACCCATGTAGCAATGTTCAGGGAAGAAGGAGGCGGGAACCGGCGGACAATCAAAATAAAACTTTATTTTAAAGGAAATAAACACATTACCTGCCAGCAGTCCCTCACGGAACTGCTGGCTACCCAAAATAAAATATAACTACCTGCCAGCAGCCCCTCACGGACGACTGCTGGCTACCAAAATAAAATAAAACAAAACACAAACAAAAGCAGGCCTGTTCCTCTCTCGATCATCCACTCCGTCGCTCCTCCTTTATGCTTCCGCTCCTCTGTGAGAGATGCGAGACCGGTGTGCTTCCCAGGTGCTGCTCATTAGCAATCGCACCACCGGCCTCGCGACGTTCTCTCACGTCCCTCGGCCGTCCTGCTCACCACATACCCCCATCACCCCTCACAGGCCGGGGGGTACACCCGGGCTGTGCCTACTCCCTCCCCCCGGCGGCGATCCCTGGGGGATATGGACCGACGAGCCGAGGAAAACGGAGACGGAAGCACGAGGAGCGACGGACACGAGAGAGGGGAGAGAGGAAAGAAAAAAAAATTTGTCCGGCTCCCACAACGCGCTGCCATCTTGTCCCTCACCAGCTGGGCGATCTCCTCCACGGTGCCCGGCGGCGACGCTGGATGGCCCTCGTTGGACGCCTCGACGCTGCCCCGCCCCCGGTGGACGGCGACGGCTCCTCGGGTGCCTTGGGCAGACGGCAGGAGTCCCCCGCTCCCTGCTCCTCCCCTTCACTGGCGGATGGCAGCAGGCTCCGGCCCACGGCAAGCGGCGGTGACTCCTCCTCTCCCTCCCTCCCGGAAGGCAGCCGCCCCTCCATTCCCAGGCGGTCGGCGGCGAGCTCGGGCGTCCCACCGGCAACTCACCCCAGCGCCCCGCCTCGAGCGTCCATGGCCGCGAGTCCCCCGCTCCCTGCTCCGGCCCACGGCGAGCGGCGGCGACTCGCGCACCATGCTTGATGGCACCGCGGATTCACCACAACGGCGAGGACCCTCGGACAGCGCGTTCCTCCCTCTTCCCGGGTTTCGGCACCAGTGTAGCAATGTTCAGGGAAGAAGGAGGCGGGAACCGGCGGACAATCAAAATAAAACTTTATTTTAAATGAAATAAACAAAATACCTGCCAGCAGTCCCTCACGGAACTGCTGGCTACCCAAAATAAAATATAACTACCGTTCAGCAGCCCCTCACGGACGACTGCTGGCTACCAAAATAAAATAAAACAAAACACAAACAAAAGCAGGCCTGTTCCTCTCTCGATCATCCACTCCGTCGCTCCTCCTTTATGCTTCCGCTCCTCCGTGAGAGATGCGAGACCGGTGTGCTTCCCAGGTGCTGCTCATTAGCAATCGCACCACCGGCCTCGCGACGTTCTCTCACGTCCCTCGGCCGTCCTGCTCACCACAACCCATAAGTAACAGGAAGAGAAACTCAGGAAACAACCATCCAACATCAACGACGACAGACAACTAGACAGTACAAGAGTAACCCCTTATTTACCCCTTATTTACACTGCACACGTCTGTGGTGCGTTGCGAGCTGATGCTCACGCACTGCTCCTGCTCGACTGCTCCTGCTCGACTGCTCCTACTCGACTGCTCCTGCTGGACGCTCACGCACTGCTCCTGCTCGACGCTCACGCACTGCTCCTGCTCGACTGCTCCTGCTCGACTGCTCCTGCTCGACGCTCACGCACTGCTCCTGCTCGACTGCTCCTGCTCGACTGCTCAACTGCTCCTGCTCCTACTCGACGCACTGCTCCTGCTCGACTGCTCCTGCTCGACTGCTCCTACTCGACTGCTCCTGCTCGACTGCTCCTGCTCGACTGCTCCTACTCGACTGCTCCTACTCGACGCTCACGCACTGCTCCTGCTCGACTGCTCCTACTCGACTGCTCCTACTCGACTGCTCCTGCTCGACTGCTCCTGCTCGACTGCTCCTACTCGACTGCTCCTGCTCGACTGCTCCTGCTCGACTGCTCCTGCTCCTACTCGACTGCTACTACTCGACGCTCACGCACTGCTCCTGCTCGACTGCTTCTACTCGACTGATCCTGCTCAACGCTCACGCACTGCTCCTGCTTGACTGCTCCTGCTTGACTGCTCCTGCTCGACTGCTCCTGCTCAATGCTCACGCACTGCTCCTGTTTGACTGCTCCTGCTTGACTGCTCCTGCTCGACTGCTCCTGCTCAACGCTCACGCACTGCTCCTGCTTGACTGCTCCTGCTTGACTGCTCCTGCTCGACTGCTCCTGGTCGACGCTCACGCACTGCTCCTGCTCGACTGCTCCTGCTCGACTGCTCCTGCTCGACTGCTCCTACTCGACTGCTCCTGCTCGACTGCTCCTGCTCGACTGCTCCTGCTCGACGCTCACGCACAGCTCCTGCTCGACTGCTCCTACTCGACTGCTCCTACTCGACTGCTCCTGCTCGACCGCTCCTGCTCGACTGCTCCTGCTCGACTGCTCCTGCTCGACTGCTCCTACTCGACTGCTCCTACTCGACGCTCACGCACTGCTCCTGCTCGACTGCTCCTACTCGACTGCTCCTGCTCGACGCTCACGCACTGCTCCTGCTCGACTGCTCCTGCTCGAATGCTCCTGCTCGACGCTCACGCACTGCTCCTGCTCGACTGCTCCTGCTCGAATGCTCCTACTCGACGCTCACGCACTGCTCCTGCTCGACTGCTCCTGCTCGACTGCTCCTGCTCGACTGCTCCTGCTCGACTGCTCCTACTCGACTGCTCCTGCTCAACGCTCACGCACTGCTCCTGCTTGACTACTCCTGCTCGACTGCTCCTGCTCGACGTTCACGCACTGCTCCTGCTCGACTGCTCCTGGTCGACGCTCACGCACTGCTCCTGCTCGACTGCTCCTGCTCGACTGCTCCTGCTCGACTGCTCCTACTCGACTGCTCCTGCTCGACTGCTCCTGCTCGACTGCTCCTGCTCGACGCTCACGCACAGCTCCTGCTTGACTGCTCCTACTCGACGCTCACGCACAGCTTCTGCTCGACTGCTCCTGCTCGACGCTCACGCACTGCTCCTGCTCGACTGCTCCTGCTCGACGCTCACGCACAGCTCCTGCTCGACTGCTCCTGCTCGACTGCTCCTACTCGACTGCTCCTGCTCGACTGCTCCTGCTCGACTGCTCCTGCTCGACGCTCACGCACAGCTCCTGCTCGACTGCTCCTGCTCGACCATCTTGGGCCATCTTGGGATGAGGCTCTGGAATGGCGGCGGCCATTGTGGGACGAGACTCTGGAATGGCGGCGGCCATCGTGGGACGAGGCTCTGGAATGGCAGCGGCCATTGTGGGACGAGGCTCTGGAATGGCGGGGCCATCATGGGTGGGACGAGGCTCTGGAATGGCGGCGGCCATCGTGGGACGAGACTCTGAAATGGCGGCGGCCATCGTGGGACAAGGCTTTGAAATGGCGGGGCAATCGTGGGACTAGGCTCTGGAATGGCGGGGCCATAGTGGGACGAGGCTCTGGAATGGCGGGGCCATCGCAGGACGAGGCTCTGGAATGGCGACGGCCATCTTGGGATGAGGCTCTGAAATAAAGGGCCATTGTAGGACGAGGCTCTGGAATGGCGGGGCCATCGTGGGACGAGGCTCTGGAATGGCGGGGCCATCGTAGGATGAGGCTCTGGAATGGCGGCGGCCATCTTGGGATGAGGCTCTGGAATGGCGGCGGCCATCTTGGGATGAGGCTCTGAAATGGCGGGGCCATCGAGAGACGAGGCTCTGGAATGGCGGCGGCCATCTTGGGATGAGGCTCTGGAATGGCGGCGGCCATCTTGGGATGAGGCTCTGAAATGGCGGGGCCATCGAGAGACGAGGCTCTGGAATGGCGGCGGCCATCTTGGGATGAGGCTCTGGAATGGTTTCAAGGTCACCATCATTGGAAAGGCCGATGGTGAACTGCGAATTACAGGTAGCCCACTCCACAAACGCTTCAAAGTTGCCTTCGTCTCAGCATTGAGGTTGGTATGGAAGAGGAATCTTCTGGCCAGATTGAGGACGCCGCTGGATAACCGCTTCACTGTTCACGATTTTTCACTGTTGTTTCGATAACACGTTGTTTATCTTCACCTGTTCTCTCTGAGTCTGTATACCTTTACAGAAGATTAGACCATAGCAACTTAGCAGCAGCATGAGCAATCCAAATCCCAATCCTTTACAGAAAATTGTTGATGGTCTTTGCCGCGTGCTGACAACTCCAACCACCTTAGTTGCCGCACCACTCATCACTTCTTCACCTACCGTTATCGCCAGTCACATGGTCAATCCAGCGTCCTAATCTGGGTTGACATAGGACTGCAACCAGTTTCTCTTCCAATGCTCACTGGCCATGGAGATGCAGCCGCAGCGGTTCTCCACTAAAAAAGGCTAAGATATCCATCATGATTTCTCTGCTGACAGGGCGAGCTCCAGTGGGCAGAAACAATTTGGTATAAGAATGGCCCAAGAATATACAAGAATGGTGTATACACAGTCCTTGAATACTTTTGTGGCCCACTTTCGGGAAGTATTTGAAAAACCTGCAGGAGATTCCAGTATTGGTGAGCAATTGTATTAGGGGTCGACCTATTATCAGCAGATTACATTTTTTTGCTGATAAAATTATTTAATTTTTAAATGCGCTATATTTGGCTCTAATATAGCACAGCCACCTCTGTCAGAACTCACCCCTCTGTAGACTAGACCAATGTCCCCGCACATCTGATTTGTTAGGAGTCACGAGTCCGGCCAATCAGCGCGGAAAGCTGAGGCACTTGAAGTTTTGCACTCACACGGAAAGCACTTGCAGACTGGAGCTGCTTCACTGATCACGCATCAGTTGTCTCTCAAAGTTAAGGCAGCAGCAGACTTTGCTGAAGAAGCAATACATTACTACACTGAAGTTGTAAAATACCTCAATATATTAGGGCCCTGTGATTTCCGCGATGCAGAAAACACGGACGGAATCGTGGAATCCAGTCATAAAAACGGAATTTACTGTATAAAGTGGAATATGACGGAATTTGTCAACTTTTTGATGAATTAATAAAAAGCAGGTCACTACAAATCAAATCTCATTTCAAACCCCAAAAAGACTATTTTAACCCTCTGGGGTCCAAGGTGTTTTTGGGGTCCTTGAGATGTTTTGACATACTCTGACATTTGTGCTTTTTTCAGTTGCTTATAAACATATTACTGGCAAAGGTGTAATTACACTCTAATTAGCACAAACAGGGCTACCATAATGTGTTATCAACATGTATGTACATTTTTGTATTTTTGAGAGAATATTGTTTATGCGTGGTTATTGAAAAAACTAAAACTTAAAGTTTCTGAAATAAGGCCACAAAACACATACTAAATATGTGTCCACAAGACTTTTGACTAATGGATGTTGTCGCCTAGAGTTTTTTCTTCAAAATGATCTGAAAATCATCCTGCCTTATCATTCACATAAAACAATAGATTGGTTTAAATTTTTAAAATGACACTTTTTGTTTGGAAAGGCAATATGCGCAGGGGTGTGACCTGCTGTGATTCACACCTGAGAAGACAATGGGCCCGCATAATGAGCGCATAATGGGGCTGCATACTAATGACCCTTTCATTCAGGTGTGTCACTGAGCCACAAGAATGCAATGACAATACATATATATATATATATATATATATATATACATATATATATATATGCCTATATAATACAAAATTGGTTCACAGTTCCAATTATTTATTTATTTTTCAAATTGTGCTTGCAAATTGTATAATATCAAATGTAAAAATTTCTAGTAATTGTGCAGTTAATTATCATACTGTTTTTACAGAAAGTTTGGGAATGTATCCCAAATGTGTCACTAATAAAACACAATACAAATAATTTAAAGAGGAGGCTTATATTGAGCTTTTAAGATTTACCTAAGATTTATTTATATGTAGCCTACATATATTTTTGCTATTTTAATAAAAAGGTTACAATTACAACAACAATTAAAATTTTAACTATATTTCAAATGTAATCTTTCTTTGTATTATATACTAAAGTATACATTTTATCACATATTTCACAGTTGCGGATTAATTAGTTTGAATATAGCCTACAATCGAACAAACACTATAATAACATCTTAGCAAACAAGCTTATTTGATGTGGCAGTATTTTACAGTAAAAACGACATCTTGTCTTTCATATGTAACATCGTTTTTATGATTAGGACATATAAATGTTAATTTGCAGTTTAATACGTTGCTTATACAAAAATATTTTATTTCAACATATTTCAGTCGATTTTTACTCATCTCAGTATTGGAATATAGTTAGGTAAAAGCTGTTCATTCATTCACACACAAAAACGTGATTCAAACAGTCTTTTTGTTTACATACACTATTCCATATCGCGATTAGCACAAAGCACTTGAAAATAAAGAATGTACCTATTTCCTCGGCTGGATCCGTTGCTCCTCCAAATGAAACTACCTCTAGCCTACTTCTGAGGTAATTTTTTCCAGGATTATTATTAAGATAGTACTATTTTTCCTCACAGCGTCGTAAATCTGAGTCTCTTTCGGTGGGTTATCCAGCTGATGTGGGCGTGGATCGCCTCAGAGCGTTTGTGTTTGAATAGAGCGCGCGCTCCGTGGGCGTGGTCAAATTAACTTTAATGACCTGAGACGAGAACGACTATCATCTCTCTCTTTTCGTACAGATTACATAAAATGAGAAAATTTGTTTTTTATATAAATTACTTCATTTAAAAGAAGATAATTCAGGCTTCATGCCTGTGTGCCTGTATACTTGTTTGACTGAGTATTTGAATGGACTTCACTGACAGAGAGAACGCAGAACGCGCATCATGTTTATTTTTCTTTATTAGGCGAAAAGCACAACACTTTGTTCTTATTATGAGTTTCCACAAAAAAAAAATACAAACTTAACAGGATCGAATGATGTACAACACTTATATGTAAGATCAAAATCAACAGAGTAATTTGAGTCTCTTTTGCACTGATAAGGAAAAAAGTGAGCTGGTATCGCCGGCGAGACCGCCGACCCCAGAGGGTTAATATGAATCATGCGTGTCTCTAAATGAATGGCGCAAGAAGCATGATTTAATTTACAACACACACACACACACACACACACACATAATGATGCATAAACATCATCTACAGAGCCGCTTAGTCACTTCATGAGCTTTTTAGTGCTGAGAAAAGTTATCGTCATATCATAAACGCACAGAAACTCAAAGATCTCCACGGCAACCCGTCAAAATAAAAGTTCAGGTTTTCATAGCGCCTTAAATTTTTTATTTTTTGTTAAACTGTAAATAAATTGAATAAGTTTGATGATTTCAACTAATTAGAAATGCTTTTTGATTACTAAAATTTAATTTAAACATTAAAATAGAATCTTGAAGTTTTAAAAAATGTTTACATGATGCTGTTGGGTGCTCCCTGCACTTTTTAAGTTATTATTATTAATAACAGTTCTCAGATTCAAAGATTTGTTTAAAATCATTAAAGAAAGTATTTGTCAAAACCCTTTGTTATTCCTAATTTTGATATTAATTTGCATTTTTACCCCAGACATAGGCTATATATCGGTTCAAAATATCGGTTATCGGTCTACTTGATCTGTAATAATCGGTATCGGCATCGGCCCTGAAAATCACATATCGGTCGACCCCTAAATTGTATATTCTGCAACAAGTAAATAGCTCTATTGAAGATTATGCCTTACATTACTGTACTTCAACTGCCGCAAGCGGATGGAACGAGTGCTCGCTCCTCAGCACTTACCATCAAGGGCTCGAGCCTAAACTGCAGCAGCATCTCGCTGTATAAGTTCATCCAACTCTCCATCAAGAACACTCATTGTATGCAGGGCTGTACAGAACACCGACAGGGTCAGACAACTTACTAACTTACCTGCCAACCAGAGTATGTCAGCTCTCCAGAACCAGATGTGGAATACATGCAAGTTGAGTCCACTCGTCTACCCCAGGCTAAGCGGCAACGTCGGCTGACCCAAGGCTCCTGTCTGTACTGTACAGTTCCTATTCTCCAGCTCCAAGTCCTTCTCTCCGCCTCCTGTCTCCGGCGTTCCTCTCCCTCATCTCTGTGCTCGCCTCATATCACCCGGGACCTCGCCTCAACTGATGTGTGTGCAATCCATTCTCATCCCATATGGTTCCCTGGTTCAACCAAGACAGAAAAGACTGTGTGAGATAGTAATTGAATGTAATGGTAACTAAAGATTAATTCAGACAGTTCATAAGTAGTGGGCCCACTATACCAAGATTCACTATTTTACCATTATTATTTGGACAATGAACTATATAAATGTTTTCTGTTTGGATGGGTTAGCCTAAATAAGTTGTGTTGTCTGTTTTTTAGTAATAGATTGCAAAAAAATTGTTTGCATGGAAACGGATGGCATTAACAAAATAGCTTTGTTTTATCGAAGAGTAATAATATAATAGCTAATATAATAGTAATTACAAATATGCTCACAACTAAAGCTATGATGGATCATAGGTAGTAAATCAAGGTTAGTTCCACTCTTAATGTTTGAACTGTGTACCTGTGTATTCTGTGTGTGCAGGTTAGCTGCTCTGAAGCTAACTGGATTAGCTGACAGCAGAAGATCATGGGAAAGCATCAGCCAACTGGACACAATCCTTTGTGAAAACAAAAACAAAACCATTGGTACTCATCTTAAAAGAATGGAATGTTCAAAATGACTGTATTGTGTAGAAAATTAGCTCAAAAGATATTTATAATAAATCATAATGAATTATAATTACCTATAAATATTTGAATGTTTTAGAATTGACTGTAGCAGAATTAAAAGCATAATTATTTAATCAGTTCATCCAATGAACAAAGTATAATCAATGACCAATTCTAGGAGATTTATAGATTTTCTTTCTGGCCATGAAACAATAACCTTTTCCAAATAAAGTAAATAAAATACTAGCAGGGTAATAACTGTTAGGGGTACACAGTTAAAGACCCAGAACCAGATGTGATGAATGAAGACCCGGAGTCAGAGTTATAATAAATTAAAGAAAAGATTTACTGAAGATAGTTTGCAGTTTCATCAGCAGAAGTCAGCTTCAAGACTCTCACAGGAGTTTGCAAGGTCTAAGCGAAGTCATTGCTTATGGGTTGAATGATTCTCATTGGCTAAGAAATATATAAACAGTAATTTTCCACACATATACAGATAGACAGAAGCACATCTCCATCGATAATGAGCTGACACTCAGACCCTGAAATTACGGGAACGTCACTTTAAAAAAGTAATTAGTTATAGTTACTCACTACTTGTTCCAAAAAGTAACTGAGTTAGTAACTGAATTACTCTATAATAAAAGTAACTCGTTATCATGGAAAGTAACTATTTGCGTTACTGTTAAATAAAAAAAAGTTGAAATGAGTAGAACAGAAGTAGTGCTTATATCTCCACCTTGAAAATGCCAACTTTTCATCGGATTGCTCCTGACTCGCCATCTCTGCTGTGTGTCCCTGCTTGATATAGACTGTAACCACTGATGAACATATTCAGTTTTGGTGAGAGAAAAAAACTTTACGAATGCGGATTAGAACCCGTAACCTCTGACACGCTTGGCTAAATATCTACCACTAGACCATTAAAGAACTCAAATAAAGTCTGCGGATCGATGTATTTATTTGAGGCTGCACAGTTTGACAAGTTTGTAGCCAGCACTTCTGAATATGTACTTCCGAATGCGTCTCTGTCCCCAGCACATCTCAAACCAAACTGACGCCCGTGGTAACGCACCGCATTTAACGCCCGTTAACGTTAACTTAGATTACCCCGTTACTGAAAAAAAAAACGTCGTTACCTAACACCGTTCTTTTGAACGCCGTTATTCCAAACACTGGAAATTAGGCACGCCATGACCTTCCAGGTCGCAGATTTGGGTTGCTGAGCACCAGCACACAGTCTCGAAAACAATTCAATCAATCTCTAATAATGCCAGTGGTTTCTTAACCTGCAACCAAGAAGACTAACACACACACCGACACACAGCTTTTCCAAGGCTGGATTTGTCCAGGCTCCAACTATAAACAGGAGAGTCCTCTCAAAACATCAAGATAATGCGTTCTTTCTCTCAATAATTGCTAAACTTTTGTCTAACTGGAAAGTAAGGCTTTAACAAAGAAATGGTGTCTTAAACTATTGGCTTCAATGACCCCTATATGTTTTAACACGTTGAAGACCTTTCTCAAACACAAAACAAGTCCATATTTAATTTCTGGAAGCTGGGCTAAATGAGCAAGCACTGTTACTGCATTCAGATATCAAATACAGACATTAGAGAATACATGAAAAGTACATTTCAGCAATCACACTGGTAACTTCCATAACAAAGTAAAATCTCCAGAGAAGTCATTCAATATTTGATATTTAGAAGGAAACTTATTGATGAATACCTTGAATATAAGCACTCATTACAATCCACCCCCTTCATAGCATAGGTATAGCTAGATCAAGATGTTTAAGTGATCTTTTTTGTGAGTGGCAAACACAGTGTCTTGCTGAGATCGTTCAGGAGAGCAGAGGTGATAACGGTGTTTGAAAAGAACTGGTTTGAGGGCGATGACAACAGGTTAGAGGGGGAAGGTTTTATGATGTCTAGTGCATTTTGGATAAAGTCCATTCGTTACTATTGCAAATAAAGTACTGTCTGTACAGAAGCATATGTTCTGACAGAGCATGCTTTGCAGAATACATTCAGGAGCACTGGGATGAGGACGAGTTCTTTGGCTACCAGTTTCTGAATGGCCTCAATCCCATGATGATCCAGCTCTGCTCGACTCTGCCTGAGAATTTCCCCGTCACAGATGACATGGTCAAAGAGTCCCTAAGCGGCAGCAGCTTGGAGCAGGAGATGAAGGTACGTTACTTGCTACTGGCAATGATTTGGAATGACTGGGTCTGGTTTGCTTTGATTTTGTCTAATTTCCTGTGTTTCTTCATTATTTGGTGTGATCTGCACCCATACCCAGAAAGGGAACATCTTCCTGTCTGACTATAAGATGATGGACGGGCTGGTGGGAAATGTTGTCAGTGGCAGACAGCAGTATCTCACGGCTCCCCTGGTCCTGCTGTACTGCAACCCTCATGGCATGATGCTGCCCATCGCCATTCAGGTGTGTATATTGCACCTGTATTATTAAATTAAATACAGATGAATAAATATTGAAAGAGGAGGTAAATAAAAGAAACAAAGGAAATGTGATGTAAATGTAATGTACAATTGATGACTAGAATTTTTTTCTGAATGATTCAACATTAAATAAATGTCAATAGTTAGGACATTAAGACATAATCGCATGACATTATGAATTATGCCTTGGAAATTCTTTGTCATTTTCTTGAAAGTGAGTAAAATCATAACCCAGTTTGCACCATTTTCACGCATATTCAAATTGAATCTGCACAGTTAAGGCAAAAGCCCAGCAAAGACAATCCCATCTTCCTCCCGACGGATTCAAAGGCTGACTGGAAACTGGCCAAGATCTTCGTCCGAAACGCAGAGTTTGGCACTCACGAGGTGGACTTTCACCTGCTGAGGACTCACCTGCTGGCGGAGGTGTTCACCGTGGCCACGCTGCGCAATCTTCCCTCTCCACACCCTCTCCACAAGGTATTGAATCTGTCGTGCATGAGTTGGGTTGACGTGTGAACGGTGAGGGCTCATAGCAAAACAGTGGCATGTTCTAGATATTCACATCCACAGAGAGAGAGAGAGACAAAGAAAATAAATTACTTTATAATTAAAAATTCACAATGAGCTGATCATTTTGTACTATCCATAGTACCTCATTAAAACACCATACATCACAAAAGAAAACCACATTATTTGTAAGTCTGTAATAAGTAGGGTTGGGTATCGTTTGGGTTTTTTTCGATACCGGTGCCAAATCGATACATTTAAAATGCTACAGGTGCCTAAACCGATACTTTAAAAAAAGAGAGCCTCAAAACAATGGTGAATGACATTAAAACTTTTTTTTTTTTTTTTGAAAAAAATAATAAAAATAATAAAAGGAAAAATTCTTAATATATTAACATTTTAGACTTAGAGTAAATATATAAATATAAGTAGTCTAAATACAAAACACAACAGATTTACATAACAATTTCACAATAAAACCTAAGCCACATACGTAACCTTGGACGTTCTCCATACATCTATTAGTTGAAATTCATGCATATCTATTAACAGTGTGCTACTTGATTGACTATGAGGCTCTTCCCCATTTCTGTCCACTGTAAAATCTGTTGCGCAATTCCAGTCCCCTCCAATTACAAGACACACATTATCATCATACTTCTGGATGGCATTTCTTAATTTCAAAAGAATATCTTGTCGCTCAGGACCAGTATTGGGCAGGCACATGCACAGGTAGAGCTCAACCTATGTAGAGCACATGCCTTTTATGCCCTTACACTCCGAAGTGTCCTTTTTTTTTGGTGGCATTTTTTTATCTTCTTCAATAAATCAATGCTATTGGTCACCCTTTACGTCTGTCTGTCTGCTTTACAAATATTCAGCCAATTGAAAGATCTTAAAAAGAGCTTGTGTAAATCTTGTTCGATCCTCAAACTGTCAGTAAAGCTGATAACTCCGCCCCCTACGTCTGATAACTCCGCCCCCTACGTCTGATAACTCCACCCATCTGTCTGATAACCCCACCTCCTCTGTCTGATAACTCCACCCCTCTGTCTGATAACTCCGCCCCCTCTGTCTGATAACTCCGCCCCCTCTGTCTGATAACTCCACCCCCTCTGTCTGATAACTCCACCCCCTATGTCTGATAACTCCACCCCCTCTGTCTAATAACTCCGCCCCTATGTCTGATAACTCCACCCCTCTGTCTAATAACTCCACCCCCTCTGTCTGATAACTCCGCCCCCTCTGTCTGATAACTCCGCCCCCTCTGTCTTGGATGAACTGAAGTTCTGCAGCAGCCGCACAGCAGACAGCAGCTGAACGAAGTTTTTCAAGGGTAAACAAAGATCTTGTTTGAATAAGTACTAAACACTGTCTATAAAGGCCCATATTTTATTCATTTGATGTTTGACTGAGACATGTGGGACCTGAGAGAGAGTTCTAGGATTTGCAATATAGTCATAGCCATAGCATACACTTAAATAGCATGTGCATACAGTAGCATTTTATCTTTTATAAAATGAGATTTTGGCCAAATGTATTTTACAACAGGAAAAACTATGAATGTCTGGTTCCCCTAGTTAGAACAGGAAGATCCTTAATCAGCTCATTCCTACAGGGTTCATCTGAGCTTTCAGCAGAGTACAAACTTAAATAAAAAGCCACAGCAAGTATATGCATCTCCAGCGGATCTGAGGTGACATGTCCTTTATCATCCTTCAACGAGTACATCTGTTTTTGTTGGCCCTTTTTATGCTCCAGATTCAAAAAATGGCTTCTTTTAAAACAAACATGCTTGCATAATGTATTGTAATTGACGTGTATGTGAGAGGGTATTTGTAAATGAATGTTGAAGAATGAATGAAGGGTGTGACTCTTTTTCTTCTTCTTTTTTTGTGTTTTTTGTGCTGTTTTTGAGATGAATGATTTTATTAATATGTGTATCTGTTGACATCAGCCTGCCCAGGGACTACAGGTGAAAATTAGCACAAGTGCTATAACCTGGTAAAATGCATCTCTCCTCTTAAGGTTAATGTATATTTTGCATTGTCCCTGTTTAAAAAAAAAAAAAAAAAAAAAAAAAAAAGATTAAAGAAGTAGGTAGTAGGCTTCCCTACCAGAAGCCTACGATCAGTCAATGAGCGACGGCTCATGGTGCCATCACAGAGAGCCTCAAAATCACTCTCCAGAACATTCTCATTCACGGTACCATGCTGGTGGAATGATCTCCTGTCCCTCATCCGGAATGCAGAATCCCTGACAGCATTCAGAAGACAACTGAAAACTCATCTCTTCCGTGAGCACTTAACGTAAAAAAAAAAAAAAAAAAAAAAAAAAAACTTTCCTTTTCCTTTAAATCCTTGCTTATCTGGCTTATGCTACTCCGAGCAATGTCTGAACTTTGTATTTTGAGCACTTCTTGGGTTGTTATTGTCTCTTCATGATGACTCGCTTGGTTTAGTCCTCAGTTGTAAGTCGCTTTGGATAAAAGCGTCTGCTAAATGACTAAATGTAAATGTAGTAGGAGCATCCATGTCTTTTACAGTCAGAAAGCGGCTTCTTATGAGAGCTCCTTTAAGTCTTTAATTTAAAATTGAGCTTAGTTGATTTTTTTTTTCAAACGAGTTTTCTCCGCGATTCACACAGAAGGAAACGTCAAGATTATGCATGGGTGAAGTAAGAAACATAGATCTGACTTCTAAAAGAGAGTACATGTTTGAGTGCCGCATTTTTACACCCAAGGGGAATCATTTTTACGGGGCTCGCAATCTTCCCGAACCTCTGCAACTCTTTCGCAATCGCGTCATTCGATACGAACAGAGGCGCATTTGATATAGCGATTTTAGTTGCTGGAGCTGAATAATGGGCTAACAGCAACAAACGTTTCTTTAACCCATAACCCGCTCACAGTCAACTGATTTACCAGCGGTTCAGATTTCAAAAGTACCACAATCGCTTTATCCATACGTGATGCCCGACACTATGTTATCAAAACCGATCTGCTTCCTGATAACTACGAGCAGATCTTCCACTGTCACTCCAGGCTCTGGCACACACCTGCAACCATGCCGGAGTGACAGAGCCGACCCGGGAACAGACTCCATACCGGCATCTGTCTGACGCACGCAAACCATGCCTTTTCCTTCTCTGTCCTCTGCCTAAAACTAGAAAAGAACTACAGAGGGGAAAACATAAAAAACGAGAAGAAAATAGATAAAGCACGAAAAAGAAAACGCACTTGCTCTTAACAAACACTCAAGCTCCTCACGCATGCACCAGAGAGAGAGAGAGAATGATATGAGTTAAATAATGTATTTTAATGTATGACGGCAGGGGAGTTATTCAGCTGTAGTGAAAAAGCCTGCCTTTAAATATTTGCCTTTTGGAAAGCAGAACTGACTCATCTACAGCCTGTGGACACAGACTACACAGAACATTAGGTACATGAGGGGTCACTAATGTCTTTCTCAAACCCATTCATCTGCCTGTAATAATTCTCAAAAAATGGAATCATTCTGAAATTCATGTAGAAATAACTTGAAGCAATGGAATATATGGGAAAAATGTGAATGAGCCTGAGTCACCTACAAAAGACGGCTTGCAGGTATAGGTGCAGTTACACACACACACACACACACACACACAGTGCAATAACGCATGCACGCACTCGCTCAAGAAATCAAAATTCATCATTCACTCATATATTTTTATGTTCAAAGAATGCAGTGAATACAAATCTCTTACGTAATTTTCCTTCTGCAGCTCCTCTTTCCCCATATCCGATACACGCTCCAGATCAACATCATGGCCCGGAATCAGCTGATATCCAAGGATGGGGCCATTACCATGGTATGCATATGGCATGGTTAAAGAAGCACTAAAGTTTCAATCTTCAATTATAATCTAAATACACTTTTTGTTGAATTATTATGGGATTTGTGGTGCCAGAACTTAGTTTATACAGTAGCCTTTAACCTAACTTTATGTCATGTCTTCTCTCCGTTAATGATACTACTCTTAGTATGCAGGAGTAGGTGGAGAATCATTGGAAAAGTTGCTGAAGCGTGCCACTGCTTCCCTAACCTACAGTGCCCTCTGTCTTCCCGATAACATCTCTGAGAGAGGCCTGGAGACTGTGCCACACTACTACTACAGAGATGACGGGATCAAACTGTGGAATATCATCAACAAGTATGACCACCATTGGAGTTTAGTCTAGTGTTTTATTGATAGGCATCATCCTTTCTACTCTCTCTCTCACTCTGTGTGTGTGTGTGCGTGTGTGTGTGTGTGTGTGTGTGTGAGTGTGTGTACATGTTCTTCTATCCCGGTGTGTGTGTACATGTTCTTCTATCCCGGTGTGTGTGTACATGTTCTTCTATCCCGGTGTGTGTGTACATATTCTTCTATCCTGGTGGGGACTGCAACCTAAATGCACACAGATTCATGGGGACTCGTATCACCATGAAGACCTAAATTGAGGTCCACATCAGGAAACAAGCTTATAAATTACACAGAACAAGTTTTTTCGAAAATGTAAAAATGCAGAAAATTTTCTGTAAGGGGTAGGTTTAGGGGTAGGGTTAGTGTAAGGTTAGAAATATAAAGCTTGAACAGAATAAAAACCATTGCTTCTATGGAGAGTCCCCAACAAAGTTAGTAAACTAGACGTGTGTGTGTGTGTGTGTGTGTGTGTGTGTGTGTGTGTGTGTGTGTGTGTGTGTGTGTGTGTGTGTGTGTGTGTGTTACATAATACATCCAGTTTTTAGGGCTGAACTAATACATCCTGATGAACTTTATGATTCATATTTCAACAAATACAGTGTCAATTATACAAGTTCATGAGTTTAGTCAGTAAGCACATGCTGTACATGTGCTGTGTTTTAAGTCGCTTTGAATACATTCCTGCTTAAGAAATAAATGCAAAGCAAATCTACAAAAAAGTAATGCTGTAAATATGTAAACCTGAAAAACATCTGAATGTGATGTTTCTTACAGGTTTGCTGCAGCTTTCTTGTCACACTACTATCAATGTGATGCACACGTGCAGAAGGACACAGAGCTGCAGCGTTGGATCAGTGAGATATTCACCAAAGGCTTCCTGGGAAGAGATTCCTCAGGTCTGTTATCAGTCTGTTATCAGGGCTGTTGCAGTTGAAGAAACTGCAAGTGTGATTTCTGGTGTAATAAAGTGTGAGCTTTATTTAACAAGACCAATGAGTTTGCATTTCCAAAGAAATTGTTGCCATATCAGGTCATTTAATCCAACAAAGGTTCCCTTTTTTGTGTTCAGCTCAGTATTTGCACAGCATATCATAGACATATTTGTTTTGAGGCACAACATCTTTTGTATACACTATTGTAATACACTGTTTTATGGAAAATAATTTAACCAGGTCAATAGTCAAAACTAGTTTTTAGTTTATGGCTTAACTCTCCATTTCAGTGTGTGCATGTGTGCGTGAGTGTGTCCCACATCACACATCCACTTATATCATGAATGAATAAGCCAGGAGAAGAATGTCTCGGTTACATATGGTAACCCTCATTCCCTGATGGAGTGAACGGAGATGCCACGTCGAAACCAACGAATAGGAATCTTGCTAGAGAGGCCAAACTTCGAGTGAAACTAAATAAGCCAATGCACATTGGCGTGCAATCAAATGCATCAGCTGTTCAGCGACACTGCGTGGGTATATAATGAGCAGCAGGTGCAATTGCACTTCAGTTTTTTGCTTCGGAGCCAAGCCTGATAAGCTGGCCACCCTTGTGGGCAGCAGCAGATTTGGCGATGGGACTTGGCGTCTCTCTTCCCTCCTTCAGGGAACGAGGGTTACCATATGTAACCGAGACGTTCCTCTTCAGTCAGTCAGTCAACGCCAAGTCGAGACCGACGAATAGGAATCCCTACCTGCTGCACCCCATCCAGCGCCCTGTGCAAGCCTCTACCCCTTCTTGCCTGGAAGAACGATAGGAGAGGGCTTACGCAGAGTATGCCTGTCACTGTTATTCCGTGATAATCCACACAGTGAAATTTTTTAATAACACTGGGAAAGCGTGCCCTTTCTATGGGAAAGGGGGATGCTGCAGAAGCCACATTCTTCCCTGAAGGAGTTATGTGGGGAATACATATAGACTAGCCCAAAGGTTGTACTGCGTATGAATACTGGGTGACTTAGCCCAAGGAAAAGACACAGGCTTCGATTAGGAGCAGATGTGGAAGAATACACACATGGGATACCCGTAGGGTCACACATATGGGACCCATCCTAGACCCGGTTCTCAAGGATTCAATGGATAAAGGCATGGCACCGGGCACTCCGCCATGTCCAGGCAGAGGGTGTTGGAGGACGCAACAGGCTTTTCACTATGGAGCAATAAGGGTGCACAGTAAGGTGCAGCAAGCTGACAGAGCTAGGTCTCTCAGTGCTTCTACCCATTTAGGGTTAGAACACGGGAGGAGACTGGCTCTACAAGTAGGCTATAATATCAAGTGAACGTGTTAGGTGTCGCCCAGCCCGCAGCTCTAAAGATATCTGTTAGCAAGGAGCCACGTGTCAACGCCCAGGAGGATGCAACGCCTCTCATGGAGTGAGCATGCAACCTGAGAGAGCAGGGCACGCCTTGTGCTTGGTAAGCCAAGGTGATGGCATCCACTATCCAGTGGGTCATCCTCTGCTTGGAGACAGTCTTTCCCTTCAGCTGGCTTCCATAACAGATAAAGAGCTGGTCTGAGGTCCTGAGACTTTGAGTTCTGTCCACATACAGACGCAGAGCGTGAACGGAACAGAGCAAAGCTAGGGCTGGGTCTGCCTCTTCCAGGGGCAGTGCTTGCAGGTTCACCAACTAGTCCCTGAAGGACCTCTACTACAAGAAGGAAAGCATGGACCCTATCGAACATCTTCGGGGGTCCTCTCGGCGAGAAGAACACCACTCGATGAACAGGTTCCACTTCAAAGTGTACGCACGTCTCGTAGACTGCGCCCGCGTAGAAGTGAGGGTGTTAAGAACCTCTGGGGGTAAGTCACCTAGAACCTATGTGTCCCAACCAGGGACCACACATGGAGTTTCCAGAGGTCTGGACGCGGGTGCCATAGGGTGCCCCGTCTCAGAGTCAGAAGGTCCTTTCCTCAGAGGAATGGGACTGTCACGAGGAGCATGAGTCCTGCGAACCAGGACCGGGTGGGCCAATAGGGAGCCACCAGAAGGACCTGTTCCTCGTCCTCCCTGACTTTGCACAGGGTCTGTGCAAGAAGGCTCACTGGGGGAAACGCATATTTGCAGCTGAGTGCCAGTGCGTCCGTGCCAAGTATTCCCTGAAAGTACGTGTCCTTCAGGTCGATCGCTGCAAACCAATCTCGGGGAGCATTTCTCTTCGTGAGCATTTTGAACGGTAGTTTGTGGAGACTCCGCTTCAAAACTTGCAGGTCAAAGAACGGTCGTAACCCACCCCTTTTCTTGGGTACAATGAAGTAGGGACTGTAGTACCCTGACCTGATGTCGGCTGGAGGGACCGGGTCTATCGCGTCCTTCGCCAGTAGGACTACGATCTCCGCCCACAAGACATGGGCATCGGCTGCTGTCACTGTAGTGGAGCGGATGGCCCAAAACTTGGGGGGAAGATGGGCGAACTGAATTGCATAGCCAAGCCTGATGGTCCGAATGAGCCAGCGAGTCGAACCAAATTCTCTTTTATTGAGAATTTGGGTACCGCTGGTACCAGCGGGGGAAAACAAACAAAAGGGAACAAAGGATTTTCCACCCGGCACTCTTCCGGGGGAGGGAGTAGTGCTGTCACCATCTCCCGAAGAGCCCTTGGCTTTGCCGCCCCTCTTGGCGGGGGCCTGGATGGGCGTGGCGGCCTGCCTGCGACTGGCTCCACAGCGCCGTTTAGGTGGAGGCTGCTGCTGTGTCGCGGGAGCAGGTTCAGGAGAATGTCCCCGGCGACGAGCAGACTGAGGGGCCACGGGCGGTGGGTTGGTGGCAGCAGATGACCGCCGTGGCAGGATGTGTTTGATGGCCTCTGTCTGGTTTTGTACAGCCAAAAACTGCTGGGCAAAGTTCTCGATCGCGTCACCGAAGAGGCCTGTCTGGGACATGGGGGAGTTGAGGAACCTGACCTTGTCGGTCTCCCTCATGTCGGCCAGACACAGCCAGAGATGCCGTTCCTGAACCACCAAGGTGGACATCGCATGACTCACCGACCGCGTGGTCACCTTCGTCGGACGAAGCACGAGGACCGTCGTGGCACTAAGTTCCTGGAGAACTTGGGGATCATGACCACCCTTGGGCCGGTACTTCAGTGCCTTGGCCTGATGGACCTGCAGCAATGCCATGGAGTGCATGGCAGAGGTGGCTTCCCCACAGGCCTTGTAAGCCTTGTCGGTTAATTCCGACGAGTACTAGGCCCGGGAAGGGAGACAAGGTTCTCTGGACTAAGTGGAGTTAGGGCACAGTTGCATAGCAACTCCACTGGCAGGATACGCGTGTACCCCTTATCCGCCCCGCCATCAAGGGTGGTGAGGGAGGAAGAGCCACCGGAACGGTTTCTGGCAGTAAAAGGTGCCGTCCACACCCCCGTGAGCTCTTCATGCACCTTCGGGAAGAAAGGCACTGGGTTGGTTTACTGAGAACCAGCGCGTGCCACCTAGAGGTACCAATCATCCAGCCTCGATCCTGTTGGCGGCCCGAGAAAGCATGGCCATCATCTCTGGACACCGCTGCCACAACCGAAGGGGGCTGTTGAAAGCTTGCACTCGTTTGAGAAAACACTCTTGGTAGAAAAAAACAGCATTGAAGTGCTCGGCTCTGAAACAAAAAGCTGAGGTGCAATCGCAACTGCTGCTCATTATATACCCATGCTGTGCGTCTTGATCAGCTAATGCAAATGATTGCATGCCAATCTGCATTGGCTCGTTTAGTTTCACTAAAAGTAGATTGGCCTCTCTAGCGAGATTCCTATTTGTCGAAATTGACCGACTGAAGTGGAACCAGTGGTAAGGCACAACACTGCTGTTTGTGTGTGTGTGTGTGTGTGTGTGTGTGTGTGTGTGTGTGTGTGTAAACATCCCAAATTGAGTTCCTCAAAGAAACAGCTTTTCATTCTTCTTCCAAGGAATACCATCATCTTTTCAGACATTGAAAGAGCTTATCAAGTTTGTTACCATGGTGATCTTCACTGCATCAGCCCAACATGCTGCTGTAAACAGTGGACAGGTCAGTTAGTACAAGTCAATTTAATTCAAATAACACAGAGCCATTAAAGCTGCAGTCCGTGATCCTAATCTCATACACTTTTTCTCAAATCCAGTGAATTGCTCCTCACATTCCTCTAGCTCAGTGGCCCCCTGACCTCTTCATGATCCTCTTAAACCTCCTTGTACCCACAAATTCATAAACCGTGCCCTCGCTTTCGCAATCCGTTCCCACGGGTTTGTAAACTGTACTCACGGATATGTGGCCACTCGCTTGCTGTTAACTAGCTGGACAAGTCTGAGTGGGCTACTAGCAACGTTTAGATATTAATTCATTAATTTTCACAGACATTTTACTTTACATTCAAATGAACATTGTATGTGTTGTCAGAGGCTTAAAAGTTGCGATGAATAACAGTGAGTAACGCCCCCCATTTGTGCCTGAGCGCCCCCCTCTCTGCTGCCTTGTTCACACCGCCCCCCAACACTGTCCAAACTCCCCCGTTGAGAAACGCTACTTTAGCTGTACATTCAGTGTCCGACCAGAAAAAAAACTCTGTTGTCCTGGCTCTGTAAATGGGAAACAAACATAGTGGTTTGAACCGAGCTATAAAAAATCTTACCCAATCAAGCTTCGGGAACATGAAGGGGAGGGGTTTCTTTTGATTAGCTATTGAGGTCAAATACCAACAACTTTTCTCAAAACCGAAATGCGGACTATGCTTTTAACTGTTGTCTTTTATTAAAGTTACCTCAAGTTGCTTTACACCCTTAGAGTAGCCTATATGGTGCTCTTGCTATTCTTTATGAATATTTGGCTTACATATCACATTTTTCACCAATTCTTTCCCCCCAGTTTGACTTTGGCGGCTGGATGGCTAACTACCCCACTGCCCTCAGAAAGCCCCCTCCCAAGGAGAAAAGCAAGACCTCTGAGGACACGATCCTGGAGACCTTACCTGATGTGAGCACGACGGTGAATGGGATGGCGGTCCTAAAACTGCTGAGCAAGGACTCTGCAGACCATGTGAGTTTGTACATCATCAGGGCACATGTTAAAAAACTGCAATTCAATTTTGCTGTGAAAAAATGAACAATCTGAATGGCGTTCTTGTGAATGCCATCATATTACTCTGGATGAAATTGCTTACTTACACTGCTTTCAATCGTCTAGTTTGCATTACCTGACCTTTACATTACAAATAAAATTTAGCCAACTGCAAGCATAGTGTTGCAGTGGGCTCTTACAGAATATTAGTGTGCTGTCATACGTCGTGTGTTAAACATTGGTATAAACACGTTTCTTATCAACATGTTATTTACGATTACAATCTTGATACCCTGTCCGTAGTACCCTCTGGGACATTTCCCAGAAAATCTGTATGATGAAGAGGTCCCTCGCAAGCTCATTGAAGATTTCCAAAAGGATCTGAGGGAGTTGTCCGATCTCATCGAGGAGCGGAACAAGAAGTTGGAGCTTCCCTACACCTATCTGAGCCCCAAAAATGTGGACAACAGTGTAGCCATTTGAAGGGATACAGTAGACTTTTGTATTTCTATTAATAGCTTTTGTCTTTTCTATGCTCCTTCATAACCATTTACTCCTCTGTCTAAATAGTGATACCTACCTTAAAATACTGAAGCATGAAATAATTAAACAAACCTCTAGTTGCAGGGAGCTAAAAGTTGCTTCAGCGCCTGTAACTCCCTGATTTTTTTAAGCTAAGGTTAGAATATAATATAGGTGAAAATATTTTTATACAAAGTACCCACATTTTACAACAAATTGCGTCAAATACATGGTGTGTTGTAAAAATGATACAAAATAATTAAAAAATACAGGCCCCCCATGAGATGGGCTTCAAAACTAGGTTTAATAAAATTCTCTCTCTCTCTCTCTCTCTCTCTCTCTCTCTCTCTCTCTCTCTGTAAATTAGTCTACTACAATAAACCTCTTTAGCAATATATATGCTTAATGGACACTCTACTACAATATACTGTTGTAAAGAACATGTAGGTCTAATAAAAATATTTGAATGTGTGTGTGTGTGATTATTTATTTATATACAGTGCATCCAGAAAGTATTTACAGCCCTTCCCTTTTCCACATTTTGTTATGTTACAGCCTTATTACAAAATGGTAGCCTGACTTCGTCATACTCATATTCTAGTCAGAATGTGAGTCTGATACTGCTTCATAGGGCTTTGATTATGAGGCGTGTCTTAACCGAACCAGGAAAAAAAAAAAACTCTGCACTCAATTGGATAGACCTACAACCAATGAGAGCAACGCAGTAAGTAAACTACTTTGCATAGCACAGTTGTCAACTACAGAACTCAAATGCACGCACGCTGGAAGAAGTAAAATAACGAGTGTTGCTTCTTTTACTTGGCCCTCTATGAGTGCGACCAAAGGAGAAACCACAACGAGCACAGGGTTTCATTGCGTCCCATCTTCTTAGTTACCATCGGAGGCAGCTGATAAATTAAACTTTTGCCGAATCCCATAGGAAGGACGGCAAACACATCTTTCCGATCGACAAATGCCTTGATTGCAGTTCTATGTTCGTCTTTTAAAATAAATGCGCTGTCGATTTCTTTTACAACGGACGCGATAGCGGAATCTCTACATCTCAGTTCTCCAGCTGCAGTCATCTGTGAGGGAAACCAGTTCAACCCAAGCGCTCTTTGATAACGTGATGATTACGTAACTGTAGATCATCTGTCCATCATCGTATAAAGCCCGCCCTGGCAATTTGATTGGCCCGACGATTTCTGAACCGATCATAATTACTCCTCAATGGAGCGAGTCCAGACCGAACTTCCCGATCAAAAAATGTTGTGGGCGGGGTTCGGGCTGGCATCCAGGCTAACAAAATTAATTAAATTAATTAAATTAATTATTTTCCTAACAATTCTACAAACAATACACCATAATGACAACGTGAAAGAAAGTTTGTTTGAAATCTTTGCAAATGTATTAAAAAACACACTTGTCTCGTACACGTCCATACACTTGAGATGCACGGAGAGTTGGGGTTAGTCAGCTAGCTATTTTTTACATGTACATACTATATGTCACAGTCACCAGCTCACTAACCCCAAATCAAGTGTGTGGATGTGTAAAACATTCCCTGTAGAACTTTCCAGTTTGGGTTTTGAGCGGGTAAGGTGTGGGATTAAAGTTACGCTTTTTGATTCATTCTCTAGGTCTTTTTGTTGCTCAAGTGTGGGGTATGTCAGTGGTGCTTCAAGTTCCAAATTGTTAACTTCAACTGTTGGAAAGTAGATTTCGTCATTGAGTCATTTGTAGCTCCCAACGAGAAGCCCCAGTTAGTTATTTGGGGTTTTTTGGTTTGTGGATGAACACTACTATTGGATTCCTCGTTTTTTTCCGATATTGTTCAATGGTTTGTTGGGGGTCGGGCTGTCGTTGATTTTGGATCCCCTTTCCGGTTTTTATGTGGGTTGGTTTTGGGGTTCTTTAGATTCCTGTGTGGATTGGGCTGGTTCCTTTAGAGTCTCGGTTTGTGTGGTCATAAATGTTGTGATTATTTGGGAAGCTTGTTGGATGGTAATATGTCACAGAGTTTTTATATTCCTTCTACCCCATTTTGTGGCTATTTGCCAGGCCTCTTCCCATCTTGTTTTGGTTGATGTTATGATAGATCTTTGTGTGTTTTCAAGGCTTTCTTGATAATGATCCTTAAGAATATCAAGACCCATGTGTAGCCAGTTACGTGCATTAGCATAGTTCCACATGTTGGTGTTCTAGTTGTGTTTGGCCATAGCTGGTCTAATTGCCTTGGTTATTCATAGACTTTCCCCAATGATCAGTACAGACTGGTTAGAGGTCCAAACAGACCTCCCAGTGATTTTGATCGCCGCACAGTGATCGCAGGCCCACACAGGCCTCCCACTAAAACTAGGGGAAAACGCAAGGGAAACAATAAAAAGAAACGAGGGGGGAAACTATACAATAGAACTCCTTATCCTGACTATGAGTTTGATGAACACACGGCGTGAATTTTTTGAAGAAGTTGTCGGGGGGAGCTGTCCTCCAACACTATACCGACCAACATTCGGTACCCAACCAACACTTTTAGAGGAGGGGTTCCTGGTTTAATTTCCCCTCACGTTCTTCCTCCAATCAAGGAAACAAAAAAGTCTTGTTCATTAACCAAGGGGGCAGATTTAGGGATATAGATATCTCCATAGACTGAGAAGTACCAACACAAAAGAGAAAAAGGGACAGAATTCCTCGCTACTTCCCTTGTGAAAAAGATGGTTTCGAAGGAAGGCAGCTCTCAAAAACACCATTAAATCTTTCTATGATATTATTAAATTGGTGCATTATTTGAGTAAAGTGACCACAAAAGTGACTGACAATCAACCCATCACTTTCCGTAGACTCACACAACTGCTCACAAACACGGTCAGACCAGCGTTCCCCGGTCAGCAGGTTAGTCTAATGCTGGAAGGCAATGCCAGAAACTGGTCGTTCAACACACAGCTGATCTTGGAATAGCACTAAGAGACCCTGATAGAAAAGGCTTTGCAAAATGTCCGCACACAGAATAATCACACAGAGTGGCTCAAAGCCGTCGAGATAGCGGCTGGTTGGGCGGGTAGAAATGACCAGACCCGAATTAGTAGGGAGTCAATCGAGCAGGCAAAGCTCTTGATCTTGGCAGAAATGCAGAGCACCTCAACAGCACAGGCCACTGTGGTCACACACGCGCCGTCTTATCCAACACCAATGCTGCTGCTGCCACCACACAGGTGGAACGCATGACACCTTTACCACACACCACCTGCACGATGGCCCCTTTGGTTTGGCCGGTGGGAACCGCACAACAACACATTGAGATACAAACTTCGCCGGGGTTATTTATTAGAGGGCAGGAGGCCACTACCTCCTCTCCGAATAGGAGGGATTGGTCATTTAAAGAGAAAGCTCCTCCAATAGGCCTTCAGCAAGCACAAGAGTCCCTACCACTCAAATAGGGTCCCCACAAGAGGACACGGAAAGTGTTGCATTGCACCCCCTCGCCAGTGAGACCTGCACGGACCCAACTCTCTGCTGCTGTGTACCCAGAACCTGAATTGGATTGTCAACCGGGATCTTTTGGCACCAGTTAGCGAGGCAGACTCGTACCCATGTCCTTATCAGGAGGCATTGTCGCCTCATTCTAGCGACTTGCTCTTCTCCGACCACTCTGATCGCCGGTTTATGAGAGACCTAGGGGCTGTTCCATAAATGAAGCTTAGAAAAGCGGGGATTAAACTCCAAAACCGGACTTGAATGAGCCTAACAAATAAGTTTGGGCTAAACTGGTTTCATAAAAGGTAATTGAAGTTCACGCAATCTCACTAATTTGATCCAGGTTTATCTAGTCTAGATAATTGCGTGTGCACGCGTTTCTGAAGCAGCCCTAGAGGTCGATCGTGGATCAAATCGATCCACCATCAAACAGCGTATATTTTGTGCTGTTTTATGCGTTTGTGACATGTTTTTTTCGCCCCCTCAGTGCAAAAATGACATTTTACAGTTATATTCTCCATCTGTAAATGTTAGAAAGTCGTGCAAATGTATCCATTTTGCTGCTAATCTTCATATTGATTGAGCGCTGCTGCGCGCATGCGCGCCAAATAGGAGCGCAATAATTCTGACTAAAATATACATTTTGCTTGGAATATTTTATAACACTAGAAATATCTTCTAATTATAATAATTTCTCTTTAGGATGTTGGATAAGTTGCAGTGAACTTCTAGCTCATTACACTCATATATTTTATACTTCTAATAAAAAAAGAAATTGAACAGAAGTAGCCTAATTCAGGGAAGATTTTTTTTTAAGAAACTAAATATATAAAGATACTAAATATAGTTTTGGGTATAGGACCTATGCTACTTTATAAAGATGATATATACTTATTTAGAATGCTGAGAATTACAGCTTTTTATGCAATAATTTTTTTGAGAAAGCAAGAATCCCCAGTTTTAAATGAGTGGTTAGATTTAGTTTCTAAAGTACACTATGGAGAGGATAACATTAAATTAAGAACAAATGTATACATTTTGAAAAGATATGTGCAACTCTAAAATCAAAGAATATTCCATAAAATAAAGGAATATATATTGGCCTACATTAACTATATTTAACCTTCCCTTTTATTTCTAGTTATTTGTTATTTTATTTATTTACTTATTTAATATTGAAAATTTGATATTTAAATAATATTACTTGAATAACTATTAGGAATTATGTGTCATTCATTATAAGAGTTTGATATATGTGAATGTTATATTTATATTAATATTTATTTATTGTTTTATTTATATATACATGTGTTGGTATTATCACAAAAGAAAAAAAAGTAGAAGGAAAAATAAGGAATATTTATTGGGGGAAAATATGATGTCTTTAAAGGAACTGTCCATTTGTATAATTGTGTTAAATGTGTTTGAATTGAAAGACATAATAAAGTACATAATACTCGATACTCAAGGCACTCCTTAATTAAAATGTCTTTATTACAAAAATGACATGTCCTAAACGGACAACTTTAAAACTTCTATATATGTGTCTATATTGTCTAATAATGTCTATATTGTAGCCTTATTTAAGTTGATTTTCTGTATACTGTGTATTTATAAAGTCCAATAATGGTATTAGAGACTGTCAGTGGTAGTATCAGTGTGTTCTTGTCGGTCAGTGTTGAGGATCTGTGTAACGACTGAGGCTTAGCCTGACAGTTAGCCTGCCCTGGACAAGGCTAGTTTCCCAGCATAAGTTGCCAGGGTAACTGAGTTTGAACTTTTTTAAGTTTGATTTATGAAACCGAATCTACCAAAAATAAGCCTTACCAACCGAAATAAGCCTGGCTTATACTCT